TGATGGTGGTGATGGTGGTGGTGGTGGTGGTGGTGATGGTGATGATGATGGTGATGGTGATGGTGATGGTGGTGATGGTGGTGGTGGTGGTGGTGGTGATGGTGATGATGATGGTGATGGTGATGGTGATGGTGGTGATGGTGGTGGTGGTGGTGGTGGTGATGGTGATGATGATGGTGATGGTGATGGTGATGGTGGTGATGGTGGTGGTGGTGGTGGTGGTGATGGTGATGATGATGGTGATGGTGATGGTGATGGTGGTGATGGTGGTGGTGGTGGTGGTGGTGATGGTGATGATGATGGTGATGGTGATGGTGATGGTGGTGATGGTGGTGGTGGTGGTGGTGGTGATGGTGATGATGATGGTGATGGTGATGGTGATGGTGATGGTGATGGTGGTTGATGGAGTTTGGATGTGTTGTCCCTTCCAAAACTCATGTGGAAATCTGATCCCCAATGTGGCAGTGTTGGAAAGTGATTGAGTCATGGGGGCAGATCCCTCATGAATGGATTAATGCTCTCCCGGGGGGGCGGGGGTAGTGAGTGAGTTCTCACTCTATCAGTTCCCACGAGAGCTTGTTGTTTATAGGACCCTGCTACCTCCTCTCTGTGTCTCTCTTGCTTCCTCTCACCATGTGATCTGCTTGTACCTGCCGCTGCCTGCCACTTTCCGCCATGAGTAGAAGCAGCCTGAGGCCCATGCCAGATGTAGCTGTCCCAGAATCATAAGCCAAATCAACCTCTGTTCTTTATATATTACCCAGTCTCAGGTAATTTTGTTATAGCAACACAAAATGGACTAATACAGTGATGGTAGTAGTGGCGGTGGTGGTGGTGGTGGTGGCGGCGATGGCGATGATGGCAGTGGCGGTGGCGGTGGCAGTGGTGATGATCAGGGTAGTGATGATGATGGTGGTGGTGATGATGATGATGATGGTGATGGTGGTGGTGGTGGTGGTGGTGGTGGTGGTGGTGGTGGTGGTGGTGGTGGTGGTGGTGGTGGTGGTGGTGGTGGTGGTGGTGGTGGTGGTGGTGGTGGTGGTGGTGGTGGTGGTGGTGGTGGTGGTGGTGGTGGTGGTGGTGGTGGTGGTGGTGGTGGTGGTGGTGGTGGTGGTGGTGGTGGTGGTGGTGGTGGTGGTGGTGGTGGTGGTGGTGGTGGTGGTGGTGGTGGTGGTGGTGGTGGTGGTGGTGGTGGTGGTGGTGGTGGTGGTGGTGGTGGTGGTGGTGGTGGTGGTGGTGGTGGTGGTGGTGGTGGTGGTGGTGGTGGTGGTGGTGGTGGTGGTGGTGGTGGTGGTGGTGGTGGTGGTGGTGGTGGTGGTGGTGGTGGTGGTGGTGGTGGTGGTGGTGGTGGTGGTGGTGGTGGTGGTGGTGGTGGTGGTGGTGGTGGTGGTGGTGGTGGTGGTGGTGGTGGTGGTGGTGGTGGTGGTGGTGGTGGTGGTGGTGGTGGTGGTGGTGGTGATGGTGGTGGTGGATGGTGGTGGTGGATGGTGGTGGTGGTGGATGGTGGTGGTGGTGGATGGTGGTGGTGGTGGATGGTGGTGGTGGTGGATGGTGGTGGTGGTGGATGGTGGTGGTGGTGGATGGTGGTGGTGGTGGATGGTGGTGGTGGTGGATGGTGGTGGTGGTGGATGGTGGTGGTGGTGGATGGTGGTGGTGGTGGATGGTGGTGGTGGTGGATGGTGGTGGTGGTGGATGGTGGTGGTGGTGGATGGTGGTGGTGGTGGATGGTGGTGGTGGTGGATGGTGGTGGTGGTGGATGGTGGTGGTGGTGGATGGTGGTGGTGGTGGATGGTGGTGGTGGTGGATGGTGGTGGTGGTGGATGGTGGTGGTGGTGGATGGTGGTGGTGGATGGTGGTGAATACAGCAGCCACCACTGTGGCCAAGCACCTCCAGAACTTCATAGAATTTAATCCCTGCTATGACACTTGCATTTTACAGATGAGAACGCCAAGGCTTAGAGAGGTAATGAAACATGTCAAAGCCACACAGCAGCTGGTAAGTCCTGGGAGTGGGATCCACAACTGGATCTAACTCTAGATATGCACTCTCTCAACCACTGTTCTGTGCTAGGCTCAGGTCACATCATTCCACAGCACACTGCAGTGGTTAAGACGCCAGCTCTGGTAACACGGTACTTAACTTCGAATCCTGGCTCTGCCTCTCACTGGCTGTGTGTCCTTGAGCAACCTACCGCATCTCTCTGTGCCTTGATTTTCTCGTCTGTAAAATGGACATAACGCTGTATTTCATCAATTCAAAGATGCACAGTTGAACGTGCCTTAAAACTGATGTGATAATAAAGCTCTGGGGGTATATAGGAGAATGGGTTATCTTACAAGCAATCTCAGATCTGATGACAAATGGTAGTGCCTGCTTCAAGGGTTGCTGCAGAGATTAGATTAGATAATATATACTGAGTGTTTAAAATAGCACCAGGCACTAAGCATTTACAAGAACTCGCTTTTATTTTGAAAAGTTTTAGAATTTAGCCAGTCTACAAAATTTATTCAAGTGTTCGCCAAGGGATCAAAAAGGTCAGACTTTGAGCCACACACTGAGCCCCAAGAGACTGTCACTGATCACTGTCCACACACACCCCATAAGACCTGAAGCTCATGCAGCCAGGAAGGGTCAGAGGCAGGACTTGAACTCAGACCTCCTGACCACCCAAAACACCCAAGGCCTTGTGTGGTGGTGTCTCTGGCTCAGGACTTCACTGCTCTCAGGCTGGCAGTAATTCAAGCATCCCCAGGGGAACCACAGAGGTACAAGAGGAGCAGGGATGAGTTGTCCTCAGGGACCCTCTTGGTGTTTACTCTTCACTAATGGATAAAGTCTATCTCCTGTGGGATGCTCCTTCCTGGGGCCCAGATCATCACTCTGGAGACCCACCAGCTCAGAACTTGGGGAAATGTTTTCTGTGCCCTGCTCCAAGCCTGCTAGAAAAGGTGGGCCAGCAACAGCTTTGGAGCTGTCTCCACAAGTGGCATGGGGGCTGAGGCAGAGGGGTCACTGCAAGGTCAATTCAGTCCAAATTGGCTTCTCAGAAATGTTCTGAGCTGCCAAAACTCAGTGGAAGCCCTGGGTACCCCCATTCCACCACTGTGTGACCTAGGCTCAAGTGTCCCACTTCTCTGTGCCTCAGTTTCCTCCTCTATAAAATGGGGATAAATGAGGAAAAGGTCCAGCAGAGCTGAGCAGTCAAGATGTGTGACTTCACCGAGGACCAGACTGCAGAATTCAAGGAGGCCTTCCAGCTGTTTGACTGAACAGGTGATGGCAAGATCCTATATAGCCAATGTGGGAACGTGATGAGGGCCCTGGGCCAGAACCCCACCAACGCCGTGGTGCCCAAGGTCCTGGAGAACCCCAAGAGTGATGAGATGAATGTGAAGGTACTGGACTTTGAGCACTTCTTGCCTATGCTGCAGACTGTGGCCAAGAACAAGGACCAGGGCACCTATGAGGATTATGTTGAAGGCCTTCGGGTGTTTTACAAAGAAGGGAACGGCACTGTAATGGGCACTGAAATCTGGCATGTCCTTGTCATGGTGGGTGAGAAGATGACAGAGGAAGAAGTGGAGATGCTGGTGGAAGGGCACAAGGATAGCGATGGTTGTATCAACTACGAAGAGCTCGTCCACATGGTGCTGCATGGCTGAGGACGTTCCCAGTATCCCCATAGCCCCATGCCTTTCCCTGTGTGAGACTTTTTGCATCTAGCCCCAGAGGCCTCCTAGGCCATCTTGTCACAGCACCTCTCCCATCTTGTCTTTCCTGAATGATGTTTGCTGTCATCATTCACCAAATAAACTTGCTCTTTGTGCACCCCCCCCAAAAAAAAGCTTTCCTGAATGATGTTTGCTGTCATCATTCACCAAATAAACTTGCTCTTTGTGCACCCCCCAAAAAAGGGGGGGCAATAGCAGTAATGGTCTCTCATACGTTTACTGTGAAGGTTAAGTGAGTAGCAAGTGTTCAGTTAATCTCAGCTATCCCATTACAAGGCACCTCTCCTTAAGTGCACTCTGGTGGCAGCACAGGGTAGACCTCTTAGAAGTGATTATCTTCACCATCAAATGGAGCAATAAATACCCCCTCTCAGGATAAGATGAGATAGAAATGAGCAAGATCTCCCTACATGAAAATGCCCTACACAAATGTTTCTCCCACAGCCACTTAATGGGCACCTACTGTGCACAGGGTCCTGGGATCTGCGTGGGACAACACCTAGTCCACGTGATCTCAGAGTCGTCCATTCTAACACTCAGTATTAGGGGGATTAGCATTGACCAAGCTAACATGGTAATAAGTAATAAGTAGTGTGATCTACTTATCCATGTGTCTGTCTCCCTTGCTGGTCTATGACCCCCGAGAGCAGGGACAGTGACCTGTCCCCAGAGGCCACCGCTATATCCTCAGCACCAGCAGAACATCTGTCACATCAAACCTGCTCCTAGGTGGGTGAAAAAAATTGAGCAAGGGTGGAGGAATATATTTCAGGCCAAAATCAAAGCCTCTTGTTTACAAAACCACCCACAATCTTTCCCTCCCTCTTTTCTTTAGTAACTGACTAAATTTCCAAATTTGTCCATTACTAAAGCCTCCAAGAACTCCCCAGTTTTCACTCAACAACCATCTTTCCTGGATGGGTTCTGCGACACCATGGGCCCAGGGCAGGCTGTGCCAGGCTAAGCTCTCAGGCTTCACCCAGTCTGGCTAAACCACCAGCACCAGGGGCCAAACCTGGCACACCCACCACATCCTCCTGCCAGACAGTGGGAGGACTTCCAGGCTGCAAGGCTGTTAGTGCGAGGCACCAGGCTGCCCCACAATGGGCCTACAGGCGACAGGCAGGGTTGGGGAGGGTGTCGAGGGAGGGCAGTCTGGATGGGGGGCCATGGGGTTATCAGGAGACCTCCAGAGGAAGGCAAATTCACAGCCTGCAGCAGGACACTGAGGAAGGGGGACGTAAGGCAGGTGGGCTCCCTGGGCTCTTGGCTGGGCATCTCTTGGAACAGCACTGCCCAATAGATCTTTCTAGGATGACAGAACTGCTCTACATCTGTACTTACACATACAGTAGCCACATGTGGCTACCGAGCACTTGAAACATGGCTAGTGCAACTAAGGACTGTGTTCTTTTTTTTTTTTTTTTTGTCTTTTTGTCTTTTTCCGTGTCCGGCAACGGATCGCAACCCTCAGTGTTGCCCCCGTACCGGACCGGGGACCGGCAACGGGATCACAACCCTCGGTGTTGCCCCCGCGCCTCGCTCAGCCAGTGAGCGGGAACCGGTCTGTATGTGGGATCCGAACCCTCGGGCGGGAGCGCCGCAGCGCTTCCCAAGCGGCGCACTATCCAGTGCGCCACCAGGCCGGCCCAGGACTGTGTTCTTAAGCTTAGTTAATTTTAAGGTAAAACAGCCACATGTGGCTAGTAGCACCGGTACTACAGCACAGGAATAGACTCTAGAGGATTTGGGGTGAAACTACACCCCAGAAAGTCAGCAGAGAATGCAGGGCAGGTGAAGCAAAGCTGGTGAGATTCCTGCTCAGACATTTTCTCTGTTCAAGAGGGCTCAGAACACTAACAGTTCACATGCACAACTGCGCTAAGCACTTTACATACATTAACTCACTTAACTGGCACATATACTCATACATTACACACATACATTACATTACACACACCACACAACCACCCAGGGAGGTAAGTATGATTACAAGCCCATTTTACAGATGAGGAGACTGAGGTTTGGAAAGCTTTTCTCTCGGTGACACCCTCGTGTTTGTGTTGTCACCCTGCTGGTTGATCCTACCTCCCTCCTACCTCCCACCCAGGACCCCCTACCCACAAAGTTATGTTCAATCAAATTAACAGATATACTGTACTAACTAAAAAAAAACCAAAAACACTACCAGGCCTCTTCAATTATGGAATTTGAGCCTGTGTCCTCAACCTTTTCCCCAAGCCAAAGGTCAGATCCCTCTCCACTCCTTGAAACCTTGGATGTCCCTTCCTTTTTAAAAGAGTTCTCGTCCTATGGCTTCATCTGAAATCCTGGCGGTTCCTATTTAGTGAAAAGACACATTTTTACTTCACTGTTATGGCTTTGGTGATAGGGGCCAGGGGTCATTTCATTTTCTTATCTTACATTTATATTTCTCTCTCAATCTGAAACTCACTGATAATCCAAGAAACTTGGATGCGAGGTACAGTTACCAATCATGCTGGTCTGTCTGAGACTTGTAGGGTGATCCTGGGAAGTGGGACTCTCACTGCTAATGCCGGGAAGTCCCAGCCAAGTTGGGACAGATCGGTCACCAGCCTTGACTGTGAGAGGCATGTCAGTGCCCACGAGAAGCATCAGGTCGATTTCATACCCATCATAGTGTCCTCAGCCACCGCCGATTCTAGGGTTGTGGGCCAACAGGCAAGGAGGGCCACCAAGAAAGGAACCTGGATCTCAAATAAGACCAAATGGGGTTTGAGATCCCAACTCAACCATGTGCAGCTGGGCACCCCAAGCAAGTAGCTTCTCAGAGCCTCTTTCCTCGTCTGTAAAATAAGGACGGAGAGGCCCACCTGCCAGGGCTGCTGTGGGAAAAACAAAGAATAAAAGAGCCCACACACAGTTGGTGCCAAGAACACTGGCTCCTGCCCCCTCGCTGTTGCTGCTATTAAGGACCAGAAGCAGACCAGGTAACGTTTCTGAATAATTGCCAAGAAGAACCCAAAATGTCTCATTTAATTAGCATTCTCCACCCTCGCCCTACCCCCCCAGAAATCTGCAAGGGAGGAGATGGCTCTTTCCAAGACTGACCCCATTCATAGAAAGAGCATGAGGGACAATTGCTGCTCCTGGAAGGTTAAGGGTAAACACCACACCAAAGCTCCATGCTGATTCTGGAGACAGAGATGGGAACGGGAGTCTGAGGCAGCTGCCAGAAATCACCACTCAAGATCCAAGAAGAGATGGTGAGCCCAAGGTCTCTGAAGCCTTGGGAAGAACATGCATAAAAGCCCCAGGCACAGAAGAAGGGAAATGGGCCCAAGGACCAGACAGACACTACATCAAAGTCATCCTGGGCTGGTTCCAGGGTTGGGGCCAAGGACGTCGTGGTGAGTGAGTCCACCAAGGGTCTAAGAGTATAACTCCCTGCACGGACGCCCTTCCTCCAGCAAGACTGAGGCTGAGGGGCTGGGCTGGTGAAGGGCTGGAGGCGGGTGGGGGACTGGAATTGGGTTGGAGAGAACCAGATAAGAGACAACTTGAGCACAGGCTGACTCCTGTTAGTGCAAGAAGAGGCAGTGAGTCTTCCTTGGCATCTAGGGAGAGAGGCTCCTGACGTGGAGGCTGGGTGGGTACACACAGTTGGACTGCTGGGGCACACACCCAGCCCACACTGTGCTAAGCTATGCGTTGTGGCTCACCAAGTCATTTGCACCAAGAGGCCATGTGAGCCCACACCTCTTTGGATGGCTTTTTTTACTTTAATCAATTTTGTTTTTTAGATCAGTTTCAGATTTACAGAAAATCTGAGAACATAGTAGAGAGAGTTCCCATATAGGGATCCTACACCCAGTTTCCCCTACTATTTATGTCCTACGTAAGTATAGTACACTAGTATAGTTACAACTAGTGAAATAATATGAATACTTTATTACAACTAAAGTCCACGTTTTATTCACATTTCCTAGGTTTTCCCACACGTCTCTCTTCTGTTCCAGGATCCCACACTGCATTTAGTCATCAGGTCTCCTTAGGCTCCTCTTGGCTTTGACGGTTTCTCAGACTTTCCTTGTTTTTGATGACCTTGACAGTTTTGAGGAGAACTGGTCAGATATTTTATAGAATGACCCCCCTCCATTGGGATTTGTTCCTCTCCCGATGAAACTGGGGTTGTGGGTTACTGGGAGGAAGACACCAAAGGAGTGTCCTTCTCACGTCCTATCATGGGTCCGTACCATCAGCATGACATCACTGTTGGCACTGACCTTGATCACTTGGCCAAGGTCGTGTCTGTCAGGTTTTTCCACTGTAGAGCTATTCCTTTTTCCCCTTCCCAAACTGTCCTCTTTGGAAGGACATCATTATGGGAAGGCCTTCTTAGGTGTGGCCATACTATTCCTACCTCTTGACTGAACCAAAATGCCCCAAAGCTGTGTTCAGAGGTCCACTGGACAGCGGGAGAAGCTCAGCCTCTGAAGGGAGACGCTCTGTCCCTTTGTTTGGGTGACAGGAGCATTTCCACATCTGCTTTGGCGCCCACCCAAGAAGAACGGTAAGAACCATGCTGCAGGGTGGTTGCACAGACCACAGGTCACCCTGTGAAGCGCCTGGCACACAGAAGGGCTCAGGAAACGGAGTTCCTGATTCCTGGTGGCCCTGGACACTTGAAGGGAGGATGAAAGGGGACTGGGCACCAGGGGCCTCCTGATACAGAGAGACAGCCTCTCCTTTCCTCGCCGCATTTTCAGAGAACCCTGTTCAGGCAGGATGATCACCAGGCCCTCAGGGGGTCAACCTGGAGAACGTCCCAGAGAGTGCAGGGTGAGGTCCCCAGCACAGGGCCAGACTAGCCCAGGCCTTTTGGCCTTGGCCTTTTCAAGACCAACCTTCCCGTTGCCTGTGAGGAGGCCACTGTTAGTGCATTTTCC